ACCCTAAACCTAACCCTTAACCTAACGCTTAACGTAACCCTAAACCTAACCCTTAACCTAACTCTAAACCTTACCTTTATGTGAATCGGCTTGCTTTAATTTAATTTTAATTTAATTTATTTTTAATTTTATTTGTCGCGCTGCTGATGACGTCACGTACGGGCTTTGATCGGGCGCGTTTTAGTGGACCGCGGTTTTGACGGGTCACGGAGAAGAACAACCAGGATGATTAGAGGGCTGGAGGCTAAAACATACGATGAACGGTTGCAGGATTTGGGGGTACCTAGTCTAGAGAAAAGGAGGACTGGGGGGGGGACTTGATAGCTGTATTCCAGTATTTGGGGGGCTGCCACAAAGAAGAGGGGGGAGGGTCAACCTATTTTCCAAAGCACCAGAAGGCAACATAAGAAGAAATGGTTGGAAACTAATCAGAGAGAGATATCTATGGAGATTCTCCGTCATTCAAATCACAGCTGTCCCAAAGATGCTTTTTCAAGAGGCCACTGGAGTTTCTGGTTTTTCTCTCAAGACGTTTTGCTTCCCATCCAAGAAGCTGCTTGGATGAGAAGCGGTAAAAAAACAAAAAGTCCAGTGGCCTCTTGAAAAAGCGCCTGTGGGGCAATCAAGGAGAAGAGCAACCTGTAATTAAGGAGAAACTTCCTAACAGTGAGGACAATTAACCAGTGGAACAGCTTGACACCAGAAGTTGTAGGTGCTCCAATCACTGAAGGATTTGGAAGAAGAGACTGGACATGTCTGAAATGATATATATAGGCTCTCCTGCTTGAGCAGGGGGGGCTGGATTAGAAGACCTCCAAGATCCCTCCCAGCTCTATTCTGATTGATTGGTGGACCCTTCTTTCCAAATTCGGCTCCATTCTAGACCCAACCTCAAGAACCAGGAAACCCCCAAGGATCTTCTTTTTCCAACAATAAGGTGGCCCCTCACTCATTTAGATTCAAATCCCTTCATATGGCCATTTCCCCCTGGTTTTGCAGGGGAAAATGACCCACAATGGGATGCATTCACACAACCATAGTGGGCTTAAAGGTGGTTTGTTCCCTGCCACGCCTCTTGGAGCCCCCAGGTTGACTCCACCTGGCATAAGACAAGGAAGGAAAGAAAGAAAGAGAGAGAAAGGAAGATGATAGGGAAGGATGAAGGAGGATGAGGAAGAAAAGAGTAAGGAAGGAAGGAAAGAAAGAAGGAAGATGAGGGAAAGAAAGGCGGGAACTAAAGAGAAAATAAAAGAAAAAAGAAAAGGAAGGAAGGAAAGAGAAAAAGGAAGATGATGGAGAGGGATGAAGGAGGATGAGGAAGAAAAGAGGAAAGAAGGAAAGGAAGATGAAGGAAAGAAAGAGAAAACGAAAGAAAAAGAGATGAAGAGAAAAGGAAGGAAGGAGAGAGAGAGAAAGGAAGATGATGGGGAGGGACGAAGGAGGAAAAAGAAAAAAGGGGAAGGAAATAAGGAAGGAAGGTGAGGGGAAGAAAGAAAAAACAAGAGAGAAGGAAGAAAAAAAAGTAGGAAAGAAAGAAATCCATGCAAAATAATAAACCACGATTCCGATCATCCCAGCTTTCTCGTCTAGTCTGAATGCAACGGATGCAGGCTTAGCCTGCCGGGGTCGCTTCTGGGGTGGTGGTGGTTTACAGCCCCCCCTCTTAACCGGGTTTGCTGCTCAGCCCGATGGGCTTTGGAATCGGGGGTCTTCCTGCAAGACCCGGGGCCAGGTTTTGCACCCACGTGCACCATTAAGACCCTGCAAATCCGGCATTTGCTGCACACACACCCCTCCCCGGGTTCGGGTCTCTCGCCCTTCCTTCCCCTTCCCCACCCGGGAGCCGCTCCAAGGATCGGTCCGCAGAATGCAAAAGCAGCAACCGGGCGGGTGCAATGCAAAATCCGGGTTAGGCCTTTCGGTGCAATCGAAAGGAGGGAGGGGGGAGAAAAGAAATTATTTTTATTTTATATTTAATTTTGCAGCCGCGCAGTGTCTCCCCCCCCGCCCCGCTTGCAAATCCCCCCCGGGTTCGCGGACCCCCCCGCAGAAAGAAGGGCGAGGCCCAAGCAAAACCCCAACCGTGCAATGCATGCAAACCTCCCAGAAGAAGAAAAAACCCACCCACCCAATTTCCCCCGGTCATTCTTCCCGGGTGCAGCACCCCGGGCTTTTGCAACCCCAGCCTTGCACCCACCCCTCCTTGAAGCAGCTGAAGCCATGCACGCTTCTCGGGGAGGGGGGGGGATAGAAAAGAAAAGCCGGGGTGCCCCCTCCCCTCCACGCGTGGGTGGGTGGGTGAGTGGGATGCATCCTCCCCGCGCCTTTCCCCACGAGCAGCCTTACCCGTATTTTGGAAATTTGGAGGATTATTATTTATTTTTTTTGCAAATCCGGAGCAGCGCAGACCTCGCGCCTCCCGCGTGCAAAGCCCGGGCGGAAGGTGGGAGGAGGAGGAGAGGGGGGGGCAGAGAGTGAGAGCGAGAGAGAGAAAAAAAAAAGCCAGAGAGCGAGAGAGAGAAGAGGAGCGCGTGCGCGCAAGCGCGTGCAGGCAAAGGCGTTCCACCGCGGGAGGAGGGGCGCCAGAAGCACAGAGAGCGAAGCAGCCAATCGGGCCCCGCGCACGCCAGAGCCGGCGTAGCCTGAGCGGCCAATCGGAGTGCGCCTGTCTCTCTCTCTCTCTCTTTCTTTTTAGGTCCGGGAACTCGGTCCCGCCCCGAGAGACAGAGAGAGAGGGGAGGGGCTCTCCCCGGCCACGCCCCTTTCCTCCCCCNATACTCTTAAGGAACCAGACCCCCAAATTTGTCAAAATTAGCTCCCCTTTGTAAGACGGAAGGTGGGGGGAAAGTTAGACCTACACACAGAAGGGGTTTCCGACACCTTTGCCCTTGTTCAGAGATGTGCGCGAGGAGGCTTGGTCAACTTCTGGCTTTCTAAGAACTTCCCGAAGAGTTTGGCTGCTTCCATGGCACACCCCCAGTGAATGGTGAGCCCAAACCCTCCGTGGCCGTAATTGTGAATCACCTGAAAGAGAAAGGGAATTTCAAAGCACAGGCGCCGATGATGAGATGCGAGACTCGGAATCTGTCTGCCGGAAATCCTTTTCATTCAGAAAAACAGCTACCTCGGATCGGAGCGCCCCGTGACGAATGGTCTCGTGTTCCAGCCGGACTGCCGGGCGTGACGGGCGCAAACCGCTCCATTCTTCGACCACCTTGGCTTCCTGGAAGAATGACATCCAGCAGCTTATTCTCAGAGGCCCCAAGGCTTCCGCAGGCTATGGGGCACTGAACACCCCCGGATGTTCCTGCCACAGGGACTTCCTTCTCTGTCCAGGGAAATGGGGAGAACGCAGGTGCCTTGGCCCCGTCTTGGAGAAGCTGATCTACCTGGAGGCTGGGCATCAACTTGCAGCATCCGTCCCAGATTTTCTTACGGTCCTCTGCGTTGTTCTCCGTACTCCAGTTCCCCAGCTGAAATATCCCCCCCAGGGTCACCGTGCGGCTCCTGCAAAGAATGGAGGAAAGAGGAGCAGTCAGACCTGAAGGATTTTAAATCAGGACCTGCCCCCCCCTCCCCACTCGGTCTCTCATCCTCCAGGTGGGTTAGGTTGAAGCTCTCCTCCTGCATGGTGATCCTGCGTGCATCCTGAGCCCCCGTGGTCCCAGTCCCACCCCTTGGAAGCCCCCAAGTGAGAGGCAGCTTCCCTTCTCACAGAAGGACACCAGCCGAAGAGGGCAGGAACCTCCCTTCAATCTTAAGAACACCGGATTACCGGATTCCAATAGAAGGCCTGATCCCAGGAGATGCAGCTGGAATGTCTCTTGACGTCCCACTTAGTTGATCATTCTGCCACGCTCCACCACCTTTTCCTTACCCGGGGATGATGTAGGGCTCCCTGTAGATCCCAGCGTCAGCGTCATGGGTGACGATGAAATGCTTCACCCAGGGGGCCTCGACCTAGAGATCCAGAATAAGCGGGAAGGTCAGGGAGGAGCCAGATGGGGAGCTGGTGCACCGTGCCAGCACACGGCACGAAGAAACGATTCCTCTGCTTTCTCCTGGCCTGTTGGGACAAGCAGCTGGTCACCCCGAAGGCTATATCTATTTATTTAAATGACTGTCCATCTCTATCCGGCCGAGGTGGCGCAGTGGTTAGGGTGCAGTACTGCAGGCCACTTCAGTTGACTGCTATCTGCAGTTCAGTGGTTCAAATCTCACCGGCTCAAAGGTTGACTCAGCCTTCCATCCTTCCGAGACTGTGGGGGCGATATGCTGACTCTGTAAACCGCTTAGAGAGGGCTGAAAGCCCTATGAAGCGGTATATAAGTCTAACTGCTATTGCTAAACAGCACCTGCCCCTCCCTCCCTCCTTGTCTCCAGAGGGCCTTCTGGGAAGGTTGAGACCAGCCTTCCTCAACATCCCACTACTAGGCCAAGTCCCAGCTTCCCTCCACCGGCGCTGTGGTCCCAGCTCCCCCAGGCCTCACCTTGATGATCTGTCCTCGGCCTGGACGCAGCTCAGGGTCAGTCTGTAGCTCTCCGGCACGAATCCCGGTACAATTGACCACCACGTCCACCCCTTCAGCGGTCAGCTAACCGAAGAGAACCAAGTGGGTTGATTCTCCATCTTGTTTTGGAGGAATAAAAGACCCCTCCCCCCTCTGCCTGTCCAGAGTGGCGTTTCCCAAACTGAAGTCCACACATCTCCAAGCTGGGCAAGTTGAGAAACACTGGCCTAGAGTGACCTTGGTGCCCTCCGGGTGTTCCGGATTCCAATTTCCACCCTTCTGGGCCAGCTCTACGTCCATCCCGACTCACCTCCTGGAAGGACTTGATTTTCCGATGGAAGAATTGGACCTTCCGCGAGGTCAACCTTTGGAGAGCAATGGAGGGGTGTCAGAAGGAGAATTTGGACAGACATCCCTGTTGGCTCTGGGGTTTTGGGACTAAATGGGACAACAGGACTCGAAGGCAACGGTTCTTCCTTTTCTCCATCCACAACTAGTTTCTTCACAATATTAGCACCTCTGAGTATGGAAGGTTGAGGCCAGCCAGTCATCATTAGCCGAACGACAAGGCTTCCAATTTGTCTATCAAGGCCACCACGTGGACTAAAGATTTAATCCAAGGATCCAACCAGCTTTCCCAGCCATCCACTGCCACCACGAGAGTAAAATCCAAACTACCGTATTTTACAGAGTATAAAATGGACCTTTTTCCCCCACCTCAAAAGAGGGTAAAAATCTAGGTGCATCTTATACACTGAATACAGCACTTCTGGCCTTCCAAAACCCCACCACCTTCACAAAAATGGTTGTGCAGAGGGTTTGGGAGGCCTGCAAAGTACTCCTGGGGCCTGGGGAGGGCAAAAAAACAAGCAAAAAATGGCCTGTTTTTGCCGCCCCCCCCCCCTTCGGAGCACTCTACAAGCCTCCCAAAGCCTCTGCATGCCCTTTTTTTGCAAAAATAATGGCCATTTTTGCTAGGTTTTGCCCCCTCTGCTTCCAGGAGCATTTTGGAGGCCTCTCAAACTCTCTGCATGCCCCATTTTTCACAAAAAATGAGGTGTGCAGAGGGTTTGGGAGGCCTGCAGAATGCAAAATCCTTTTTTTTTTTTTNCGGTCGTAAGTGTGAAAAATGGCCACAAGTCGCTTTTTTTCAGTGGTTTTGAGTCCTGGAGGTCATGTGACTTCCTCTTTTGCAACCTTCCGACAACCAAAGTCGACGCAGAAGCCAGATTCGCTGAACGATGGTGTTCCTCGACTTACGGCAACAACTGAGCCCAACGTTTGTGTGGCGAAGGGACGCTTGTTCAATGAATTTTGTCCCCTGTAATCGACTTTCCTTGCCTCCTCTGTTGTTAAGTGAATCACTGCCGTTGGATCATTGGTGACCTGCTTGCTAATGTGTCATGAATGCGCTTAAATCGTAGCATGAAAACTTCCGGAAAAAGCAAATTGACGAGCTCAAAGGTCAAGACGTGAGCTCGGAAGTCTACTTCGTGAAGCAGACCGCTGGTAACTCCTGTGGAACCATTGGCCTTATCCACGCAGTTGCAAACAATCAAGATAAAATGCGATTCGGTAAGTACCAGGGGAGAATTTTCCAGTGGACGTATAAATCCTGCAGGCTTAAATGGACCCTAAGTTAGCACTTGACAGGGACTTCGCTTCGGGGAACATAAAATATTTTCTCAGCCCTTAAAAATTCAGGGAGTAGTCAAAACCTACTGACTTAAGTGTCAGCCCCAGACTGCCAGATGGCCCAGGACCGCCATTTGGGCAAGGGAGGAATGGACGCGCATTCACGGGCCTCAACAGCCATGGCATCATGGCGTCCTGACAGGAACCACCACCCCGAGACACGCCTAGAGCCCGCATTATCTGCGTCCTCAGAGTTGCCACCTGGCTAGCGGGATCCATACTTTACCAGGCCAATCGCTCTGGCATCCACAGGGCTGCCGCCTGACTATTAACCGGCTAATTCCGAAACAGCCGATCGTCAGATCGTGGAAACAGCTGAACATTGGAGCATGGGAGGAAGCAGGAAACGGATGGGCAGCGAGGGGCGTGGCCGGACTGCAGTGGCTGTATTAGCACAAAGCAGTTGGTGGGAGGGGCGGGATATACACACAAGGGAGGTGGCACGCAATATAAGGGGCGGGCGAACTAACCACTGTAGCACAAGCTTTGATTCCTTTTGGATGGTCGCTTCAGGCCGGCTTCCACGTTTCCAGATAAACAGTCTAACATCAACTGGCTGGCTTTTCTTTTCTTTTCTTTTTTTTTAATTCCCTGCTTTCTAGCGAATATAAATCGTACGGCACAGCTGATTAGCAATAGCAGTTTGACTTATACACCGCTTCATAGGGCTTTCAGCCCTCTCTAAGCGGTTTACAGAGTCAGCATGTCGCCCCCACAGTCTGGGTCCTCATTTCACCCACCTCGGAAACACCAGTACTTTAACAGAGGAATTGGTACCAAATGATAGCAACTTTAGGAAGAAAGATATGAGAAGCTGGAG